CTCAACTCATTGGTCTGTGACAACCACTACCCAGTCACAAATAACCTGCTTTTTAGGGAAGGTGATTGAGAGGGTTGTGGTGTAACAATTGCAAGTACTCTTGGATGAAGCAAATTGTCCTGACCAATTTCAATCTGGATTCAGGCTTCGTTAGGGGACTGAATCAGACTTGGTCATCCTGACTGGTGACCTTTATCAGGAGAAGGAAGTGGGGAAGTGTGTGACTGTATTGTTCTTGATCTCCCAGAAGCTTTTGATACCATTGACAATGCTATCCCAGTGAGTATTGCTATCCCAATGGGTAATGGAGAACACTATTTTATAGTGGTTCTGATCCTATCTCCAGGGTCAGTTTCAAAGAATAAAATTGAGTGATTGTCTGAGAGTTGTGCTGTGGTACCATCTTGTTCCCCATGCTGTTTAAAAATCTTTTAACCAGCTTGCTCACATTTAAGGCTATGGAAATGTTTGCACTGTTTACAAAAATGTCTTTGCCTTGTAACAACTGCGTTTACTTTTTTTTGCAGATCTCTGAATAAAGGTTAATAATGTCAATCAGGGGAAATGCCTTACGTTTCAGAAGTATTTTCCCAACGTTATTTTCACTCGCCACTAGATGGTGCTTTATTTCAAAGTATGATGGAACAGTAGAAAACTAGGGTTTTGAAAGAAAGAAAACGACTGCTAGAGAAGAATAGAGTTATCTAAGGGAGGTTATCTAGTTGACTGATTTGACTGATGCGGCAAGTGTCTGTTCTTCAAGTTATCTGACTTATCTTTCACATAGTTTTTGGTCACATTGCTTCCATTGAGATCTACGGATGAAGGGTGGTATAAAAAATTTAAGAAGAATAATAATAAAAGGGCAGAAAGGTAGTGGTGTGTGTGTGTGTGTGTGTGTGTGTGAGAGAGAGAGAGAGAGAGAGAGAGAGAGAGAGAGAGAGAGACTCCTCTAAAAGTTCTCATTCCCTAATGGAAGAAATTCAGAGGATGTCAAACCAATGAATTTGAATCAAATCTGTTGGCAAGTGCTCTTTGTTGGGTATGAGTAAAGGCAAGGTCGGCTCAAGACATTTCGCTGCCTGAGGCAAAGGACAAGATGATACTCTTCCTCCAAGTGCACATACAGTGGTACCTTGGTTCTCAAACTTAATCCGTTCCGGAAGTCCGTTCCCAAACCAAAGCGTTCCAAAACTAAGGTGCACTTTCCCATAGAAAGTAATGCAAAATGGATTAATCCGTGCCAGACTTTTAAAAGCAACCCCTAAAACAGCAATTTAACATGAATTTTACTATCATCATTTATTACAGTCAAAGACCAGCTCGAAAAGCACAACTGGGACAGCTTTCACAAGAATAAAATATACATGTAAAGCAGTCTACAACAACAGCTTAAAGATTAAAATCTAAGATAAGCGCATATACACATAAAGACCTAAAAAGTTGAGCTACCATACAAATTGGCCCTGACACCCCGGAGGCCGACTTCAACTGTTTTCCTAGCGAACTTACTTGTTTTGGGGGGTGGTCTGCGCTTGCAAATCTGCACGCAGAATCTGGCCACCCTCCAGGTCGTCTTGTGGTCTTTGCCTAAGAGGAGAAAATTGAGTTTATACTTTTTTTTTTTTTTTTACTAACTAACAAAACCATTGATCCACAAAATGAAAGCAATAATCAATGTTCTGTACTATAAAATAAGACAGTATTGTAGATGATAAAAATTAAAATTGTTGTTCGGGAACTAAGCTGTTCAAAAACCGAGGTACCACTGTACAGGGGACCATTGGACTGGTAGTTGAATCTTATTCCAATACTGGCAAAAGGGCTGTGTCTTCCACTGCCCTGGAGGGCAGCAGGCTATAGGACAGGCCATGTGGTGCTCATAGTTCTGGCCACTTCCCCCACCTCAGCATCTGGTGCCTGAGGCAGCTGCCTCATCGTAGGGCTGGCCCAGAATAAAGGCAAAGGTTTCTTGGCCCACTAATGGTATTGATATAGATGTGCTAGGGCAACTGTAGCCCTATTCTGGCACGATAAGCCCAACATGTGAGCAGAGCAGCCCTATCCTTGTCCCTGCATGTAACTTTTCCCTCAGCATCTTTGCGCACAGTGGGAACATCTGCGAGGAGAAAGCCTTTGCTCAAAATGCTCCAGCTATACTGTGATACCTTGGGTTACAGACGCTTCAGGTTACAGACTCCGCTAACCCAGAAATAGTACCTTGGGTTAAGAACTTTGCTTCAGGATGAGAACAGAAATCGCGCAGCGGCAGCAGGAGGCCCCATTAGCTAAAGTGGTGCTTCAGGTTAAGAACAGTTTCAGGTTCAGAATGGACCTCCGGAACGAATTAAGTTCTTAACCCGAGGTACCACTGTATGCACAAAAGCAAGGGGAGGGGGCCATTTGACCCATTCATTGTCAAGGAAGAGCATGCTCAGTGTAGCACCACTTCCTGTGTTGGACTTGTGTCTGAATAGGGTTACTACTGGTAATGAAATACAAGAAGTGAAGTCTGTGACAATTCAGCTGCCCTTTGATCTATAATAATAATAATAATAATAATAATAATAATATGCCACCTAAAGGTAAAGGGACCTCTGACCATTAGGTCCAGTCCTGACCGACTGGGATTGCGGCGCGCATCTCGCTTTATTGGCTGAGGGAGCCGGCGTACAGCTTCCAGGTCATGTGGCCAGCATGACTAAGCCGCTTCTGGTGAACCAGAGCAGCACACGGAAACGCCGTTTACCTTCCTGCTGGAGCAGTACCTATTTATCTACTTGCACTTTGACATGCTTTCGAACTGCTAGGTTGGCAGGAGCAGGGACCGAGCAACGGGAGCTCACCCCATTGCGGGGATTCGAACCGCTGACCTTCTGATCAGCAAGTCCTAGGCTCTGTGGTTTAACCCACAGCGCCACCCGCGTCCCTTAATATGCCACCTATTTATAAATAATTATTTATATGCCACCTATCTAACTGAGTTGCCTCAGCCACTTTGGGCAGCTTCCAACAAATTAAAACCCAGCAAGACATCAAACATTAAAAAACTTCCCCATTCAGGGCTGTCTTCAGTTGTCTTCTAAAAGTAAAGATAGTTGATTATTTCCTTGACCACTGATGGGAGGGCATTCCACAGGGTGGGCGCCTCTACTGAGAAGGCCCTCTTACTGGTTCCCTGCAACTTCACTTCTCAGTGAGGGAACCACCAGAAGGCCCTCGGAGCTGGACCTCAGTGTCCGGGCTGAATGATGGGGGTGGAGACGCTCCTTCTGGTATACAGAGCCAAAGCCATCCATGTTTTGTTGTATTTCCTATACACCCATATGAATATATATCTGCCAGCAGAGCAGAACACCTTGTATATCTAATAGTAGTGGACTCTAGTTTTTTTAAAAGAAAGGCTTATGCCATCATACTTTTGTCATGATTTTTAAACTTCACTAGTAGCAAACCACTGACATTACTCAGATAACTAGCAGTACAAACAACTCTGTTCCCATAAAACTGCCCGTAGTTCATGGTCAAATCCTACTGCAGACAAGTCCCTAAGTCACTCCTGGTCAACCACAGTATGCAAGCCTAGCTGAAATAAAGAACTCAAGGCTTAACTCAAATTTAATCCTGTTTGCTTCAGTCATATTAAACTGGCTTCTGTCCAGGTACTTTGGATGTGGGTTAGGCTGGTAGTATTGATTTCTTGCTCTAAATGAGAGCTGTTTAAAGAATGCTTATTACTAGCAAATTCACAAGTGCTCGCACACAATCTGACTATATTTTCTTTAAAATATAGACTCTCAGAGGGCAGATTATGGTGCATCAAACACAATGTCAGATACCTTGGCAGTTATAAATATGTAGGGAACTTGCCTTACAATCTTGCCCTGCTTTTTGCTTCTGCTACACCAGCAGGTAAGTAATGGAGAGGATTTACCTTTACCACCCTAAGAAGGATAATCACACCTCCACCTATCTATTCCCCCATCTATTGACACCTTGATCCTCACTCCCAAGTTTCCACTTACTCATCTGTTGTGCTCACCATCCTCCGTGTGCTACTGTTTAATGCCAGATCAGTATACAGTTAATGATGGTGCTGATCTAATGTGTATTATTGAAACCTGAGTGGGTGAGCTGGGAGGAACTGCCATGGTGCTTCAACCCTTACCCACTTGACTTATTAATGACTGCATAATGGGTGGTCTAGAGTGTAGTCAATCCATCTTTGCATGAACAAGTAGTCCTGTTCATCTTAAAAGAGGTAGCAATTCAACAACTCATGAAAAAGCTCACCTTGCCTCCATTGGCTTGAGAATTTTTTGAAGAGTTCCAGGATGCTGAAGTCTGTTCAGATGGCTCTGTATAACATTGCAGGAACCTCCAGTGATATATCTTAAGATATAGGTATGTGGAAACACATCTAATGGAGACCTCAGTCAGGCGTATGGAAGTAAGACATCTCACTTCACTGCTGACATTGTAACCTGTTGTCATCTCTGGTTTCCCACTTTTCTATTTGGAATTGTCAGGAGAACAATACAATCTGTACAAGGCTGTATCCAACTAAGTTAAAGTATAGACCTGGTGAAACCAATGGACATGATTAACTGAAGCTCTTTGATTTCAACAGGTTGATGCCGAGTAGAATTTAGTTGAATACAATCCTCTAAGTCAGGGGTGGCCAAACTTGGCCCTCCAGCTGTTTTTGGACTACAGTTCCCATCATCCCCGACCAGTGGTCCTATTAGCTAGGGATGATGGGAGTTGTAGTGCCAAAACAGCTGGAGGGCCAAGTTTGGGCATCACTGCTCTAAGTATAGAGCTGTTTCTGTAGCCCAGATCTGAAGGAGCCTGAGGCTTGTGAGAATACAGATCTGGAAGCAAACAAAACTCAGGTAACCATAACCATTTCTTGCATTCTGTAGAATCTAATGATCTGATGTTACTCTCTTCCATGTAGACATTGAATGCTAGAAAGTGCTCCTTCCCAAGTATGGTGCAGGGAGCTTCCCTGACATAAAATTGTTAATAAAGCTTTTCCTGCCACTGCTCTGTGATTTAATGGAGTGGATTACAGTACTTTGTTTTCTAAAAGCCTGACAATCTCCCACTAGAATGGTTAGATTGGAGTCCTTGAGTCTGGAAAAATGGCTCCACTTAGCGGTTTCATTATCTTTCTTTAGAAGACACAAGACCTTCTCTTCATTGGGTGTAATGCAGAAGGGATCCAGGACCTAACAGAAACAGTTTGGATTCTGAGAAGGGGAATGCAGCCAGGTTATTATTGGATACTTGGACACAATTACGGTCATTGGAGCCCTTACTTCCAGCTGGTTGTCAATTCAGATGGTTGCTGTGATAAGCATACTCAACTGAATAGCCATATACGGGGAGAGATACAACCCAGACATCTGTTTTTGGAGCTGCCCAGCAACTCCCCAAGCTGGTAACTTGCAAATTAAGTTTTTTAACTTGGGGGCAAGATTTTAATATAACAGGATGTGCACCTATTACTCTTGCATTGCCTGGAGATTGTTCAAAAGCCACCATCACAATGTGGCAACACGCTGCTTTCACTATTGCTAGGCTTTTCTAGTCTAGATCTCAAGGAAAATTCCAGATGCATCCAAGCACTCCCTCTTGGGACAGATGTTTTGTACAACTCCCAGCATCCCTGATCGTTGGCCTTATGGGCTGGGAATGATGGGAGTCCATAACATCTGGAAGGCACTAGATTGGAGAAGACTGTGTGACAGGAAAGCTCATCCAAAGATGTTTCAAATCAGATAAAAGGAGGTCCTGCATACAGGGTTTTGAGGGGCCATCATGTCAGTAGGGAAATAGAGTATATACCAGATTGGCACACATGTGATCATAATGGGTATCATACCAGTTCAGTGTCTCTGGCACATGTTGGAGCATGTCTCCAAGCCTGTAGCCACTAGCAGAAGTTGAGTGTTTAGGCAAGCTAATCTCTGGCTTCCTGCTTGTCTTTTTCGGAGTAGGGATGGGAGAGGAGAGAAAGAACCATTTTGCCTAATAGTCAATTCTTGCTATTGTTTTCTCTCTGTCATTAGTAACTGGTCAAGTAGTGCTCAAGCTGAGATCTCCCATCTCCACAAAGGCAGGCGAGGAGAAAGTCACTGCTTGTTGCTACAGTCTGTTGTGCCTGACAAGGGGACAACATTCCCAATAATTCAGAATGTCCTCCTGAGCCTGCCCAATAAATTTTCGTGCTTGATTTTCAACACATGGGTAAGTAGTACATAGCTTGCCAACTTTTTAAATTCATATAGCCAATGAGTGCAGCTAACAAATGTTTCTATCATTCAGTGACAAATACACAGCATCTGTTCTTCATTTAGCCACATTATCTTCTTTTTCCACAAAAATAATTAGCCCTTCAGCACGGTTGCTCAGTTTGTTAATTGAACGGGACAATAAAAGCTATGGCAAAGAAATCAAAACATCCTCCTCTTTGTTATAAATCACAGAGGACGCACACATTGATCACTTCGTTGCTCGATGACCCGGTAGTGGCAAGAACAGCTTTATGCAACTGTGGAACTCAATTCATCTACAAAAAATGTTCTACCTCTAGAACACGCAACCCCAATAGCCAGACTAGGATTGCTCCCAGAAGACCTGCTTATGAGCAATCATTCTGATTTGTTTGCGGGGAGCTAGACAACATTGTGTCAAACAAGTGTTGTCTCGCCCTTTCTAATGTGTTTTCCTGTCTTTTTCCTTATAGCAAAAAGTTTGATCTTTGGGGGAATTGGGAGCACATGCCCTCAGGGTTAGGGTCTCAGTCCCAGGAAGTATAAGCCTTTCATCCAAGGACTCGTCAACATGGGTTGAAGGTGCTGTGCAGTTGCAGAAAGGCAAGTTCAAGCATGGAGAATCAGTTTTGGTCCAAACATGATCCGGAAACAAGAACCAGCAACAGTTGAAGGTCAATCTCACAGGGAGTTCAGAAAGATATAACACAGCAAGGCAAGGGATCTAGAATCAGGAACAATAAAGATCAAGGAATGAGAGGCCAGTGTTGTTTCCAGCAACTAGAAGGCTCAAAAAGACAACCGTATAACCTCTGGCCTCCGAGAGTGTACCCCAACCCCAGCTGCTAATACTAGTTTCACAGATTGACTAGTTTCTCACAAGAAGACCCCCTTGTAAGCCATGCAATGGCTCTGGGTCTATAGACACACACTACGTTGTTGCTCTTTGGTATTGCATCCCATTTAAGAACAAGCATTCCACAAGGAGCTCAAATGACAAACTTATTTCCCCATTGCCAGAGTAAAACTGTAAATAGAAAGATGTCCAGGCTCTCTTCAGTCCCAACTTTTCCCACTAAGAAGTTGCTCAAAACAGCTTAAACATTTTTTTAAAAAATTGAGGGAAGATTTCAATGTTATGCTAAGGCCATCAGGGCAAGCGTTTCAGTTGTATAGAAATGGCAGGAACCATTGCAGCAGAAAAGAAATCTGATGCCGTCTTGGCCTTTCAGAAGTTAGAATTGCAATGCAGTAGATACAATTTAAAGATAGATTTTATTCTCTGATGACTTACTCATGCAAACTGCACATTGAAGAAAAACAGTACAGTTTGTGAAACATGTCAAATGCAAGGATCTCGAATGCGAAGTACAGAAGTAGTGTGACATACATTTTAAAACGGAATCTATGGTTATACAACTGTTCTCTTGTTTGCTGAACATAGGATTTTAACTAATCCCTTCATTAAAATCATTTACATCTCTCCTTGCACATATTTAGATTTACTTTACAACAGCAACAGCTTTATTACTAAAAAAAAAACCAACAAAAAACTTTGTATTAAATAAGGTTTAAAAATAGGACTGTATTATACAACGTCAGGCACTGCTAATGCATGAACACCATTCATTTCAGTGGGCTGCTTAGGAGCAGAAATGAAGGTGGGTAGCAGAGCAGTGCCTAGCAGATTATGCCTAGATTTAGTGGAGGAAACATAACCACTTTGTTCATCCAATCCAAACACTCTCCACCCCGATCCATAGGAGGAGGAGTATGTGTGGAAGCAGGCTTCTACGTGTATATGAACTTGTGGAATTGCAAACCATGAGTATGCATCAGGCACACATACAAACGTAGACGCCATATACCTGCACTGCATTGCTTTCAACTGAATTCACATCTCCATCCCAGTGTGACTAGAGCTGAATCCTCCAGAGAGGAATTTTTAAATAGAATTCACAGTTTGTGCTGGAGACTTCGTCACTATACTTGTGGGTTAAAAATAAAAGAAAATTAAAGCTTGTTTCTGAAATTAACCCTTTAAAAACTGATAAAATGAAGGTGTCTGGAGCACTTTTTGCAAACTATGCAAAAAAAACTTGTTTCCTTACATTTTTAATACACAAAATATTTAAATTCTTATTTTCAGACTTAAAGCACTGAAATGATATATACATAATTTTAGGACTTCGTTCAGCTTCCATTCTAGTTTGGTTGTAAATCATACAAATTAAGAGTTGCTCTCTGCCATTACCACCTATTAAAATCCAATGATTTAAAACTGAATGTTTCATAGTTTGATGGCACCCTAGGTTAAAACAGAGCGTAGAACATATGAGTTACACAAACCCACAATAAATGCATTAAATGTTTGTTATATACATAATGGAATTCTTTTTTTACTGCCAGATGCTGCTACTGTGTAGTTTTTCTCTGCTGTTATGCAAAGTTTCTCCGGTATGAAAGCACATACCTTAATTTTTTTCTTTTTGCACTTTTACAACTTAATCGTAAAATATTATATATTTTTAACATGAGTACAGAATTAAAATAGATAATGGCACATTAAAAAACTCAATATCCTGCAGATGATTGGATAATGAGAAAAAGTGTACCTACAATCATCTTATCAGAAACAAACTACATCATGGAATGTTAGTTATCCAAATTCACACGGTAAATAACATTTCAAAAACTGCAATCACCTACCAAGCCAGCATCACACTGAAGGCATCTTTAAACATTCAAGCACAGATTGCCGGCGTAACTACTGAACCATTCTCTCGCTCTCTCATTCATACACACATACACACGTCACACTATAATTACATTGTTCCACGGTACGGTAAATATTGATTTTTTTTCTCCCCACAAGAAAAGTATCAAAATTTTGCTACTAAAAGATGACAGTGCTTACACAAGAATAAAGTACAAGTTACCTTGCAAATACAATACAATAACAAAAACAAAAAAAGAAGGTCTTGAGTAGTTTGATGAGGGAATTTCAAGCTTTCCTGGCACCCATACTATCTTGCAGTATGAATAAGCTCCTCTTTAAGACTCAAGAAACCACAAAATATCAAGTGAGCTTTGAAAAAGTATTCCATCTTTCACAACCCTGTTCAGAATCTTTCCGTTGTTGTTGGCTGTTTAGTAAGAGGGTATTAGCTGCAGGTTTTTGTTTTTGCAGCAGAAGCAAAGCTTCTGATTTTATAAAATGGAAGTGCTAGCTAAGCTGACATCTATTTTAAAAAAGAAAATCTAGCTAGTAATGACCCTGATCAAGATTACATATGTGCATAAAAAGTACTGTATTCCATATACTGTACTGGCCCTGTTAAACAAAATTATTTAAAAATACCCAAACAGTTAAAAAGCCAAAGAAAATGCTACACAATATAATCAAACATATTCTCCCAAAGGTTTCCCCCCTCTCATAATGTGCAAAACAATATAAAGGCAAAAAAGACTAAAAGCAAATTTCCTGTTCCTGTCTTTTTCTCTTGCCTAGTGCTTTAATGATCTTGTAGAGTTTACGAAGTCAATAGGATTCTATGCAGAACTTTGGTATAAAATATTACAAGATTACTATCACAGTTTTTTGGGGTGAGCATTTTACGTGACTGCTTGGAATACCACCAAATTAAAGTAGTAAGTACATTTAAACTGTACCGACACTTTACATGACGAGCACTGAAAAGAACTAGCAATCCTAATTAGGAAAGGAAAATGAACTTGGTGTCTGTTAAGAGACTACAACCCGCTGTGCCATTCCTGTTCGCCAACTTTCAAAGCCAAATTCAAGTTTGAATTTTACAGATGAATCATTTTTAAGCTACAGATTTCTCCTAAATGAAGGCTGCTTTCCTTGGTTTCCCTTTGAAGTTGCTAAGGAGTATCTAAAAACAACGCAAGTTTTTAATCAACTTCCTGAAGGCTGCGACTGAGATGGAGGAGCCATTACAATCTGCGAAAGCACTGGCTCTGTACTCTGGTCTGCCATCTGGGTGAGAACCGATGTAGCCACTGCTTCTGCCTTGGAGGTTGAGCTTACACCATTGGAAGTGCTGACCGAACTATGCTGAATAGCTTCTGTGTGAGGACTACTTGGCACGGAAATGTCTTCAGAACTATCATCTTTATCTGTAGCTGAAAAAGAAAACAAAAACATTTCCATGTCCTCGTCAATGAAATGTGTAATTAGAATATGAGATGCTAGTTCCATATGCTGTATAAATACCTGTAGGATTTTGACGATAGCCAAAGCAGTGGGACTGAAATATTGGATTAGGAAAAAGTACACTTATTTTAAATAAATAAAAAAATTGTCCAGTAGCACCTTAGAGACCAACCAAGTTTGTTCTGGGTAGAAGCTTTCGGGTCCATGCACACTTCTTCAGTTACCATCTGAAGCTTCAGATACACAAAAGCTTATACCCAGAACAAACTTAGTTCATCTCTAAGGTGCTACTAGATAATTTTTTTATGTATTTCAACTGCATCAGACCAACACGGCTACCTACTGCACTTATTTTAAAGTTATGTTCTAACAAATTCAAAAACTTTGGGAATTTTTACTGGAATACCTAAATATTTTAAGATGTGACAGCTCAAGAGCATGCAGTTCCCTTCTGTTATTTAGATTTTAAGGGGGGGGGAAGGAAGGCACTGACAACTTAACATAAGAATTTTAGCATACTTGAAGAGCTGTGTGCATAAATGTGTGTTTCCTGGAAAACAAGTGAAAAAAGTTAAATATAACTCTGACTTTTGATTGAACCAGCACTGCAACCATTCTAGTTGTCCAATGTAACATGTATTGTAATCATCCATTACATTATTAATTAATTTTATGAAACAAAGTGGAACATTTTTGTAAAAAGTAAAACAAAAGTGGAAACTTTTCCACATCACAGATGGACACATCAATCAAGAGGATTTTAATTTTCATCAACCCTATAAAGTGGCCATGATGGAGAAAATAATGTACATTTAATAACATAATTTTATAGTACAGGTAAATTCTACATTCTGACACAGCTGTTTGCTGTTTTTGTATCTGCAGGCACCTATGTTATCAAGACCATTGAACAAAAGCAAATGAAGACTCGACAAGCGTTTCTGAGGACATTACCTCAAACATAGCATTGGATCCTGAGTTGCTTCCACTGAAGGATGACACTGACAAGGCAGTGGGTTGGTGAAGAGGCAATTTGCAGCCCCAAGCACTACCTCTCCCAACTCTCTAAAGCTACTCCTTTTTTGTGGGGGGAGGGGACACTAAGAATTGCAGGGGAAATTCTCATTTCTGCACCCCACTTCCCCTAATGGGAGCATCTCGCAAGCAGAGTTCTGCTCACAGGGATTTGAGACCCACAGCAATTAATTACTGTAAGTCCTTTCCCAAATAGCTGGCTTTTGCGCTGAAGAATCGCTAATTCAGACTTGTCTAATAAATGTTTCCAGTACACTAGGATCTTCTCTGAGGGAATCTCCTGAAACCTCATCACAGTTAAGGATTACAACGTGTCAGTTACGGATGCAGCCTTTTTCAAGTGAAGCCATTTGGTACTGCACTTTCACCTTTAATGTGCATGAACTTGCCAATTAAGGACCTGCACAAGGTCAGAAATGCTGTAGCAATTATTACAGAGTTTATGCTTAGTTTATTCTAAACATCTAAGATGGAGCCTGAGGAAGATGCGAACATTGCCTAGCACAACATAAGGAAGAAGCTTTTGTTTCATGGTGCATTTTGTGTTCTTATTTTGTGTTTTTATGTTGTGAACTGCCTTGTGATCTTCAGTGAAGGGTGGTATACAAATTTAATAAAATAAAGAAGGACTGGTGATAGCCCCCTGGGAAGTTGCTTCTACTATCCCTCTTGCTTGCTTCAAGGCTTCAGTGAGTTGTATCACTTGTTTTCAGCATTTTCATAATGTAGCTGAGGCACCTTATGAAGAGTATGCTAGGCTAGACAGACTACAGAATGGAATTCAAGGTCAAGCAAATGTTCCATCTGTGCAACCATATCAGCATGCCAGATGGAACAATCCTGCCTCCCCCTCAACATGGGTTTTCTTCTGACACCGCCCCCCCCCAGCCAATTTTGAGGGAAAGCCCCACTGAGCTAGTGGAAGTCCTTCCACTGGTCTTCTTCCAGTGATGGGGCTCTATAGGTGAAGCCTGCCCTATAAATCTGATTCCGTCCAATCCATCTTATTGCATATTTACAATGAGCAATTATGTATAGTTATTCCTGCAGACCATAATCCAATATCCGCCAAAAGTGACAACACACACTGCAAATGAGTTTGCAACAATAGCGCAAATTTTGGAGTATGCACTTTCTCTCTGTGCTAGTACTTTAAACTTGCAAGCTAAATGTACAACCAGATAGTTCTCTTTCATAATATCAGCATTCAAGACACCTAAGCACATTCAGCAAACTATGCATGCATAATGTAATCCTATAGCTGCTTCTATATGGAATAATGTTGTTTTGTCAGGTGGGAACCATAATGGCCTCATCCCTGCAACAATCATTGTTAATATAAATTCAAAACATATTTCTGCACGGTTTCAATTTGCTCCAAGATGCCACTTTCCATCCTGTCAAATGACTGGAGATCAAAAGGACCGAGATTTATAAGCTCAAAACTGACAAAATCAGAGTTCTAAATATATACAGCCACAGAGTGTTGCTAAATCTCCGGAATCTCTTAAATTAAAAAATATTGCCCATTCTGATGAAACTGCTTACAATGACTACAAGTAAAGATGGTGGCCATTAAGTTTTATCGCAAGCACCTGAGGAACTGTTCGCATGCAATACAAAATGTTCTTTTATTCTCCTAAATTACTGACACTGGCAAATTAAAATGAAGTGGCTACATATGGCAGAAACAATCTTCACATTTACAAATATACTGAAATATCACTAAATCATAAAAATGAAAGCTGTGGGTTATATATTATGAATGTTGCCTAATGCATTCCCAGCTCAGTTATTTGTTACAAATTTGTGTACAATGGACAAAATTGGCCATTTATTCTACAGCAGCAGCTGGTTCTAGCGCTGGGTATTATATCCAAAAAGAAAAGAAAGAAACACACAATTAACCTTTGAAATGCTGAAAAAGTAAAAGCATTAAGAACATTTTTCCAATGTTTTATCAATTTTACTTTTACCATAAGCATTAAAGCTCATTCTTCCTTCCCCGAATAAAATTATGGTAAACATTTATTTCATTTTATTTCTGGTGGAAAGACCAGTAAACAACATAAAGAGATTCTATCTTACAGCTATGACCTGTGAAATAACTAATTTTATTTTTTTATTAAAAAAAAGTAATTGGGTACTATTAAACTGCATACAATCTCTAAATATTAATACATACCATGCTGTAACTGAATACTTTTTTTAAAATTGCAAGAATCCAGAAGAAGATTCAATATATCATTGCATTTATCTTGCAACAGCCTTGTAGGAATTGTTATATTTAAAGTGAAGTATTTGAACATCACTTCTCAGTTGTAATGTTATCTCTGTTTGCTTTGGCAGTATTTCACTGGTACAGCCTAAGGCTATATAGGTAATGGAACATTACTCACTATGATAGCCAGACTTCTTCTGCATGGCTGTTACAGGGCAATCTTTATGAGCTAGAAGAAGCTGTTTCAGCTGCGCCACTTCATTTCTCAGCAGGGTGACTTCACTCTAAAGAAGAAGAAAAAGTTACATACTTTACCAGGATCAAGTTACATACATTTCAAACTGAGATTTACAAGCTTTTGTAAAGACAAATACAAGACACAGCACACACTTTCTAGGCACATTAACACAACGCTTTATCTGTGAACTGCAGCAGTTTTGGCTAAGCAGCTTGTTTGTTTTGTACATTCAAAGAAAATATTGGGAGTTGCTTTACATTTGGTCTATTACATTCAACTCCTTTTGATCTCTTGCTTCTATATGCAGTCTGATACAGATATCAAAACGTTGTGCATCACATTTTAAGGGAAGTTAGTGGCATTGACTATTTTTTTTTTGCCATTACAGATAATTGAATGGAGAATTCTAATGTGACATATTTAAGATGAATACATTAAGGAAGTGGGGAATTTAAAATATACTGGACATAGTTGCATTGATCTCCCAATATTTTTAAATGTCGCTATGCAAACGATGCAAGTATCAATATCCGTCTGACCTCATTCTGCTAAGGCAGAAGCTGGGGGTTCTTCTGCTGTAGCTAAAACAACAAGTCCAGCAAGAAGAGCCAAAGGTTGAGCCCACTTTATCTAAACTCTGAAAGTGAGCCTCACCATACAGTAATATTTTTATATTTCATATTCATATGATTCAAACAGTTTCCCCCAGCTCGTTTATTTTGTAAAACTGACAAAACTAGAATGAGAACCAGCACTTTTTCACAGCTAACATGCTGTGGAAGGCCAAACGTATCAAAACACATATTCAACTTAAGCCATCATGGGTTATTACTACCCAGCTGTGCCTGCTTTATCAAATGATGAATCATTTTGGAATACAGGATTAATATTTTCAGATAATGAATAGTTTAAATAATTTATTTGCCGTTCAATTTTCTTTACACATCATTCTGTTCTTCACCTTTGCCAGTTTTGTTGCTGGCAGACTATAAAAAACACCTCTGCTTTACATGAAAGAGATTAACCCTTGAGACTCTTGTGTGTGTGTGTGTTCCAGTCTATGCTTATAAAAATATGTTTAAGTAGGAAAAATCCATACAGAAATGTCCATTGTCTTTTAATGCAAATGAAAACATAGATGAGGTAACATTTATTCTAGGCCAGCCTCCCCCAATCTGGTGCCCTCCAGATGTTTTTGTGTATATTCTTATTAGCTACTGCCAGCCTTGCCAATCATACACACAGGCCTCCTGCACTTACATTACACTGTTTTCTCATGTTTCTACTTCATATTCCATTATACCTCTTCTGTCACAAACAGAAACATTTTAAATTACGTAAAGTGAAGGATTAGCCAAGAAGGAAAAATCTTTGACCTTCAATCTTACAGTTGTCTTCAGGTTTTTTAAAATAATGCATGGGTAGATACACCTGACTGGCTCTGGAAACTTTGCTGGAGCATACCTATACTGTGAAATGGGTACAAGCAGCTCACGCCCACCACGCCTCTCAAAGCAGGCTTGCATTATATGCAACGCCTGATGGTCACTTGTAACCTCACCTCACCCTATGTGCACCTCATTGGGGAAAGTTCCAGATATTCAGAGCTTGCACCCTTTCTCCATCTCTTTTTGGGGAGAAGGTGAAAAAATGGAGCTCCTGAGACACTTATGGGGAGGGAAAGATGAAATATTATGGGGCGATGGGGTTCAGTTCTCAGCACTTCACCCTATGATTCCCCCCCCCCGCCGTGTACCGGCAATCACACGTCATTTGGACGAGCCTAAAATTACACTGTTTGCTCTGGTCCTGTTAAATGGATTCAACTAACCAACTTTGATAGTGGAAGCCAACAAAAGATTCCTTTCCTCCTCTACCCAAAAATGAAAAATCAAAAGGAGATCATCCTTTCTGGCAAGTAGAACAATCATATTGGCATAGCGTTGAATTCCACCTATTGCTGTTAATTATTGTATTACATTATTATCAGATTGTTTTAAAATTGCAAACAAGCAGAAGGACGTACCTGTAATTGACCATTTAACGAGCTCAAGTCTTCAGCTTTCTTCTCCAAAGACTGCACCCAAACTTTTCTTTTTTGTCTACACCTTGATGCTGCCGCCCTATTCCGCTCTAGGAATTTCCGCCTTTTCTCATCAGGATCTTCATTTGCTGCCCTTCGTCGTCGACCCCCTGTATTTGGCGTTTGTGGTGCAAGCTGTGCTGGAGAAGCCTGCAGGAAGCAAGGAATGCCAGAGTTCATTGCCACAAAACTTTTAGTTCAAGCTTAGACTTTGGACAGAAATTCACATTCCTCTAATATATCACACAGCATTGACTATAATGGTCTCATTTAGTGCAGAATATAAATTGAACACATACAATCTTGAGCTTTCATTTTAAAGAGTTTTAAAGTAAAAACAAAATGCACTGTTGACATGTTGACTATAGCAGACATATCAAACACAGGTTGGCAATACAGAACTAAACTTCCAACTCATGAAAAATTACCCTACCCAAATGTGAGCCACTCTCCAAACCCCACTGCTACCCTGTAAAAAAAATATTGCTACCCTGTAAAAAAAATATTAAAAATCCACAATATTCACTCTGGAGAAGCTTTTCAGGGATGCAGAGGGGTTGAGAAATGATAGATTGGTTGTATGAACTATCTTACACTTGCACAACCACTGGATACAACACAGAATATACTATTATAGAGGCAGAGTGGAGCTGAATGAAATGACTTATCCAACCCTCACTTTAAGGTAAGCCATATAATTCAGTGAGTTTCTCTCTTTTTTGTATTTAAAAAGAGGAAATTCTAGGATTAAAAAATATTTTGTGTAAGAGTTCAAGCACATGCAATATAGGGCTGGTTCATATGCAATGCTAAGCCATGGTTTAGTGAATGAGCCTCAGTGAGCCTGAACAAAGAATAAAAGGTAAAGGTACCCCTGCCCGTACGGGCCAGTCTTGACAGACTCTAGGGTTGTGCGCCCATCTCACTCAAGAGGCCGGGGTCCAGCGCTGTCCGGAGACACTTCCGGGTCACGTGGCCAGCGTGACATCGCTGCTCTGGCGAGCCAGAGCCGCACACGGAAACGCCGTTTACCTTCCCGCTAGTAAGCGGTCCCTATTTATCTACTTGCACCTGGGGGTGCTTTCGAACTGCTAGGTTGGCAGGCGCTGGGACCGAGCAACAGGAGCGCACCCCGCTGCGGGGATTCGAACCGCTGACCTTTCGATCGGCAAGCCCTAGGCGCTGAGGCTTTTACCCACAGCGCCACCCGCGTCCCTGAACAAAGAATAGTTAGTCGCTAAACAAGTCAATGACAAACCATGGGTTAATGAAGCTGCCTTGTTTGTTGTAAGCCAAGATTGCTGGTTTGCACATAACACTAAGCTAAGAGTCTGTCAGGAAGTAACACAGGATGTTTATATGGTAGCAAACAGCACCAGAAGCAAGGCTTCTTACCGGTGTTTCAGTAGTAGATGTAGCAGGCTGCTGCAGCGACTGTGGCCGTGCTTCCTCCGACTGAGTTCTAACCAATCCACTTGTTTGTCCCTTTGCAGTATCTCCATTTGTGACCTGAGAGTGCTGCTGGGTTAAGGCAGCTTTCAATCTCTGAAAGACAAAAATGAATTTTTCCACGATGAACAACTGCAGGCCACAATAGTCAACTTACTCAGCTGTTCACTAGCTTAAGAGTTGCCTGTGAAAGCTGCTCATGCCCAGTTTTCGGAGATTCTCCTCCTCCTCCTGCTGCAGCTCCATTCCATACCTCTTATGAAGACCCCCAAAATTCCAGGAGAGGCTTTTGGGAGGGTGCAGGGTGCTGCCATGGGAAGGGAGGAAACTTCCCTTGTGCAAGTGCAGATCCACCCGCACAGCACTGGAAACAACCAACTGCTTTCATTCTAAGCATATACAGTCGTACCTCGGTTTACGAACTTAATCCGTTCTGGAAGTCGGTTCTTAAACCGAAACCGTTCTTAAACCGAGGCGCGCTTTCCCTAATGAGGCCTCCCGCCGCCGGTGTCCTTCCACCATTCGGCTTCCGTTCGTAGACCGAGGTAAAGTTCACTAACCGGGACACTACTTCCGGTTTTGTGGAGTTTGTAAAGCGAATAGTTTGTAAAAAGGGCTGTTATTAAACCGAGGTACCACTGTACAGACAACCCCCGATTTGCACAGGATTTGCATTCAATGTCACTGCACGCCTGTGTGAAATTGTGTTCAACTGAAACACCCCATTCTGCACCTGTTCTGCCTCCGCCCCCCCTTTTTGGTGATGTCTTTTATGACGTTTCCGGGTCACTTCCAGGTTCAATGCTGTGCACATGTGCGCAACTGCACACACACATCAGTTGCGCCTAAAACAAGTTGCCTGTACTTCATTTTGCCTCCCCTGTCTTTTTTCCTTTTACAAAGAAATGACTAATACCACTTCTTCTAGTTCCAGAAAGTTATAGATCCACAATGTAAACAAGATGATGGGTATGAAACACAGAGTTAAAATGGTTAGCAAAAATACTATTATATGCTTAAGGTATGAGTATATTTCTGAGCTAGTAAGAAGGGGTACTTGTGATGTGAGTTGTACACACCGCCAAAGTGATCCAGTGCTTTTGGCCAAATACAAGTACCATAAACATCAAAGGGACCAGAGGATAACAATAGGTATCTGTTCCATAGTTCAATAACTAAAAATGATCACTAAAAATATTACGTTCTTTAATCAGTGGGTTGATAATATGGTAACACTTGCAATCTATGAATGGACTGCTTACAGACATAGACTCTGCTTGGATAAACATGACAATATTTGGAACGAATTTATACAAAATG